TTATAGCCATGCAGCTTCACGAGCTTGTCAGGTAAATAAAAATTATGAAAAGACTTGTATGGACCCATTTTCCAGGTCCACCTTTAATGTGTCTTGCAGTATGGACTGGAAAGTCCACCCATGAAACTAGATTAATTATCCTGACTGTAATGGTCAGTTATACCTGTATATTGATTCTATGGTAAACAGACTGTCTGGAAGTATCTTTTGAGAAAAAGATAGTGTTGAAATAACGGATTGATCTGCATTTGTATGGATAGCAGCTATGGATCAGATGTGAGTAACACCAATTAAGGGCCAGTTCTGTATGAGGGATCTCTCTTCATCTGTCTCTCTCAGTTTTGTCACTATGTTACAGTGTGTCTTTCTATGGCCTGTCTCCTTCCTTCTTGAACACATCCCCACCAGCCCAGTGTTGTGAGCTGAGCCCTCCATGGAGAAGAAACCTGAGTTTGCTGATCCTAGGATAAATGCTGGCATGGAGACCATGGGGGCATTATCTATCTAGGAGACAGAGAGCCCTCTTAGGGACGATGCCATGCACAATCCACATCACCCTGTTTGGCCCCGGAGAATGGCTGGTTAGCCAGTGAGGGGTAAGATTCCTCAAGGGAGGGACAACCTAAGACAGGCACAGTCGCAGAGGGGCCATCAGGAGAAAATTTGGGGGCCAACAGAGGTGAGGCAAAGAACCTCACCCCCCCACTGGTGCAAAGGCCTAATTCTTCTCCCCTTCTGAGAGAGGTCTCCTGCCCCATGGCTGCTTTGCTCCCCACATCCAGCTCAGATCAGAACTCTAGTGACAGAGACTAGTCAACAGTGACTGCCTGCTCACCAGAGCAGGAGACAAATGCAACTACAGGAATGGGCCATGTCTGGATGCTTTTCTCTTTCTTGGTTCCCATTTTTTTTCTATGCCTTTCCTTTTCCTTTCTTTTCTCATCAGGGTTATCCTTTGACAATAAACTTAATAGAAGAAGAGGAAATGTTAGAATAGCCTTCAGTTGCAACTAACAGCAACGAACATATGGAGTTTCCTCACAGTATGGTTACACTAGGCAGAAGGTGATTGGCTTATGGATATTATCTTGCTAATATAGATTGACAGGCATGCCCCACTCAAACCCTGTAACAGTTGTGTACATTCCAAAAAGAAACTGAGCTACTGGACATTGACTTGAGGTTTGTCACCAGTCAGTTATCACCAGCTCCCGTGACTGAGGTAGCCAAATAGCCGAGCAACAAATTGACCACACAGAAACTTATGCTAGACAGCACATAAAAAACCCAAGCCAGCCAATTATGCTGGACTTTAATGACTAAGACTACATTTACCTTTATGGATAATTGTTAAAAAAATTATTAAAATAGATTTTTCCAAGGGTATTTGTATTACTGACAGACCTAATTAACTCCTTAAATATGAGAGTGAAGAGAAAAAATGATAAATATCCTTTAGCCTATAAAAATACAACTTATTGCCTCATTAATTATTGCTAGCTAATATTTCAGAACTATAATATGCTAAAGTTAATATTCAGGCTTTGAAACAGGTGTATGTCTATTAACCAGACCTAGACAAACTGCTGATCTCATAATCCCTAAAGAAACTACTTTAAATATTATTCCTTGCTTATTCAATTTTGGCCTTTGTGGCTATGTCTTAAAACTTACAATATATAGATTTTCTTAATGTTTGACTTAAATTACATCCAGCTTCCTTCATGGTCAGATAAGTACTGATGAAAGGATGAGAACTAAATAATGATGTTCTAGAAGACAATGTAATAAATAATGTGAGTGAGCCCTTTGCTCTATGGTTTATGAAGAGGCCTAAATGCCATGGCAATAAAAATGTCTGTTACTGTGGCCGAACACAATGCGTCCCAATAAAATTGGGAAAAGATTAAAAATCTTCTGATGAGTGTTTGGCAAGATAATAATAATCCAGATTATTGTGTTGACTGTTATGAAGATAATATGTTTTCTACTAATTCTTTTTGTGTTTCAATAGCAGATTGTGATGACCTTGGACCAAGAGCCAAGTGACTGAAAGAAAATTTCCCAGTTACATTTTTTTTATATTAAGAAAGGGGGAATATGTGGGAGGCCAACCTTACGGGTGACTGAGTTACACTCCCCAGCTGGGTGCTGAGGTGCTCAGTCACAGAAATGGGGTGTCTTGCTACAGCCCCATGGGTGAAGCTATGCTCACCTGTTCCTTTGTAATATAATCTCTTGCCCTGTTTAGGATAGAATCTTCCATGGAAGTGCCTTGTGTGTGTCCCCTTCTCTTACTGTGCCCTTGGGTGTGGCCTACCCAGGTGTCAGTCAACCTGCTGACAGTGGACATCATGAAGACAGA